CTCCTACTGCTGGTTACAAGGAATAACCACAATAAGGTCAAGTTTGGGCAGACAAGACCTCAGACTTGGTTTTGACCTTGTTTCCTGAGTTATCCTGAAGTTTGTTACCGCTGGAAGATGAAAGGAGGAAGATATCCAACAAGGGCAGTCGGTCTCCAGAAGTCCCTTCTCACCCATTCTGTGATCTGTGCCACAGTTCACAACTCCCTTTTGCTTCCCAACCAGAGGGATTCAGTAGGGATTTCACAATTTAATCAAAATATCATTTATATGATTCCCAATGCAGATTTTTTTTAAAATAAAATCTGTTGCCAGTACCTGTGGGTTGAAATCCAAGCCAGTAAGGAAGGAAAAGGCAAGAGCAGCAGTTTTATTTTTAAAGAATAATATAAAATGCCTAAATTGCTGGAACAGGTGTGTTTGTAGCCCCTTCCTGTCCTGCCCACCCAAAACTATAAAATGCCTTGGCCTGTGTGTAACAACCTGGATTTCCACACTCCAACAAGATGAAAACATTAGTGCTGGATTACAGACTGTAAATACATGTTTTCAAGACTTGCATTTCGTTTTCACGTTCTTGACCTTTCCATAATTCTCATTGCTTCCATTTTCTGTCCTGTTGGGTGAGAAAACTGGGGAAAAGAGGGACCAGTTGCTTCCTGCAGCTTCCTCTGACCCTGCTCGAGCACCCACAGCAGTGCCAGTGCCTCTGTCCTGCTGCTGCTCTGCGTCTTCCGTGGCATTTTACTCCCTCTGCCTGGATTCAGGCGGCACATTCCTGGAGCCTGCGGCGCATCCTGGATGCATCCAGCTTGTCTGGGAAGGAGGAGAGCTCAGGATTGCCTCGCTGGCTCCCAAAATGTGCAGCTGTGCTCTGCTGCTGGATTTGTGCTGACTCCCCTCGGCAGCACCAGTGGCCGGCGAGAGGAGGGAGAGGCACTGACAGGAGAGGGTGCTAATGATTTAGGGAATGGGAAAACAGGCTGAGAGTGGTCCCTGACCACTGTCCCTGCAGAAACATCAGAGCCCTGAGCAGCTCTCTCAGAGGATGCTTTTCAGCAGGGAGAATAAGCAGATCCAGGCTGTGACAGCTAATCTGTATCTCTAAATCCAGCCCCGCAATTATTATTATAAGCTTTCCAGGAGACCATTAGATCTGAAAAGTAAATTTGAATTTATAAATGGAGTCCTGCTAGGCAGGGTCAGGGCTCCATCCCAGGCATCATTTAATGGCATTACAGGCTGATAAAAAGGTTGGAAAATCAGCAGAGGGGTCAGAACTGGCCTGAGATGCTCCCTCAGCCGTGGCAGGGTGTTTGATTCCCGTTAGATCAGCACTTTGGAGCTGAGTCACAGTCGTGCAGCCTCAATATCTGCCCTGGAGGCCACGCACAAACGGGGAAGGAGCTTTTCCAGCCCACACAAAAAAGGGCATCACGGCCCTTTCTGGTTCCCCAAAGCCTGTCCCCGCTGCTCTTCCCTGGCCTGTCACACAAACCCCCCGTGCTGGTGACACCAGGCTCGGGGCTCCAGGGAAATGAGGCCTGGGTGGAGATTACAGAGCGTGTTTGGAATTGAGCTGAGCTGAGGAACATCATTTCAATAAGGAGATGTTCCAGGCAGACATGAAACACGGGGATTTCAAGATGAGTTTCCTGCTTAATTTTTTAATCCCTTGCCCAATCTTTCAATGCCCTCGCTGATGCTCTGGGCTTTCATCCCCCCCTTCCCCTGCTTTGCACTTCATGCAGACTTTGAGCTGCTTTACCATTTAATGCAACTTGTAGCCAATGACCTGGAGTTCTGAAGCCCCAGGTATGACCTTAAGAAAAGCCCTTGATCTGTCTGGGGCAGATCTTTCTTTGGTGCAAGTTGTCTTACACCATGTTTGTATTCTCATCTGGGAAGTAACAATGGGATCACCTTTCCTCCTCCTGCCTTTTGTCAAGGCAGAGAACCATCTGTCTCTTCCTCCAGTGCTTCAGACAATGACTGTGCTCAGACAACCACAACCACAGCTCCATAACCCCCCCAGGTCCATGTTCCCCCTCGTTTACACACGTGCTGCACACACCAGCTCATTCTCAATTATTTTTTTTTTATTTATTTAGAAATAATAAAATAAGACATAATATATAAAAATCTGTACAATCCACAATTTGTGCAGTACATTAGGAAGACTTTGATACAAAAAGGCTGCAAACAGGAAAATAGTCATGGACAACTGTCAGATGCCGAGATTGTTCACCTTACAACAGCTGCAGGCCAAAAGTCCTTACAAAATCAGCTTCTCGTTGGCTGTGGAGTGGCAACTATGCAGCACCTTCTACTTCACAATGGTGGTGAGCAGCCATAATTTAAAGACATTACAGTACTTCTCAGTTTTACCTTGTAATCCATTATGAAAGAAAAGAAGACCTAAGAGAAAACGAATTAAATATCTGAACCCTTTGTCTTTCCCGAGACGAGAGAGTGCTAAACTAACCCCACAGAAAGTGTCTCGTGGCTGGGAGAGTGTCACCAACCCCAGCTGATAAGTCAGGATTTCCACCCTTTGCTGCTTCACCAAGGCCAACTCGCACGGAAGAGACGGGGGAAGGAAGGGAACCATCCCCGGCTGCCCCGGAACGCTTTTGTCACTGTACACAATATTATGGTTTAGACAATGTGTCTCATTCAAGTATTTTCAGGGAAGGGCAGAAATAACATATTCCCCCCCAGCCCCTAAGCAAGATACAGTATAAACCTTCTGTGCGAGCCAACTCGATCCTGGATAAACCAGAGCCCGGTGGAGTCTGTGGGTAGAGCTCAGTCAGTTTAAAGGGCCCCCAAATCAGCATCAGCTTGGCCCAGGATCAACAGGAACTGAAGAAATGCTGTCAGTCACTGTCTAGTCCTTAAAAAATATTTTTTTTTTAAATGACTAACCCAATTTGCTGCTGCAGATGTGCTACAATAGCCTGACCTACACCGGGCTGGGAAACACGGAGCCGATGGAGAAAGGGGAAGTGGTACCATGGAGTTACATTGCAGGTCTGTTTTTAGCAGCTTCCCCGGAGCCAGAGGCCGAGTGCAAGCCTGCAATGGAAGGTTCAGTCGGCAAAGACAAAGGGTTGGGAGAAAAAAAAAAAAAAAGAAGAACACGGCAGAGAGTAATGGATTACCCCAACACACACCCCCTCGACAGGACTAGCTGGTAACTCTGAAAAATGCCAGTAACTAGAACATGTTTTCAAATGAAAAGTCCATGCTTGAAAATAAATAAAGTTCATAGCATTAGGAGTCCTATAAGGCTTGCAAGTATTTGCTAAAAATCATGCTAACCTGTAGCATCTAGTACTAGTGAGCCGAGACTGCCGAGCTGAATTGATACTTTGTGTGGCCTTTTCGTTGTCTTCTCCTTGTCCTCCTTTACAGACTTCTATTTACATTTGGCTTTAAATATGAAAATACTTGATAAACTTTATAAAATGTACATTTTAAAAATATTTCTGCAAAAACCGACTTGAAAAACAAAACAAAACAGGAAAAAAAAAAAACAAAAACAAAACAACACAAACAAACCCAAAACCTCTGCACCAGAAATGTTAAGGGGGGGAGGGGATTTTTTTTTTTTTTCTCTCTTTCTCTCTGAATTTCTTGTGTTTTAAAGAAATGAGACAAATCCTGTGTTTCCTATCCCCCGTCTCTCATCCCTCCCTCGAATATCTCAAGTATCATTTAGTGGGAGCACTGTGCACCTGGGGGATGCTGACCTGAGAACAGGTCCCCTCTCTCCCACTCAGCCTCCCTTCCCGTTGTGTTTCCATGCACCCTCTGTTTCACTGAATACTCTTTGGTTTAGGTTTTTTTTTTCCTTTTCCAAGAACATCACAATTAGCAGCACTAGCAGCACTCCGTTGTCTCCACCACTGTTGACCCAGAAACTGCAACCAAATCACCTTTTTATGTTCACCCTTCCTTTCTTTTCTCACCCTCCCACCCCAGTAACAGCCTCAGTACTTGCACTTCATCATCTGCCCTCTCCAGTAGCCAAATCCACGTTTACAACCCCGAATTTCCACAGTTTTGAACCCACCCACTGCAGATACCATCTCATCAGAAACCACTTCGTTGCAGGCATTTCTTTCAGGCAGGGCTGGAAGGGGCCAGAGGCCTTCACAGATATCCGTTTGCAGAAGACATTAGACCTAGAACAAGCTGTTTTTTAATGGCATACAGTGATCCAATACTGCAAGAGTTGACCGGGATTATCGTCCCCACCGCCCCGCTCCGCTCCCCAGGGAGCAGGGGCCAAGCACAGGTTTGTTGTCTCCTTGATCTTAGAGGCACAGAGAATTTAAAGCCTTCTGGGTGAAGGAGCCAAAACACCCCCAGAGCCAGAGCCTGGCTGAGGGTGACCAAATCAGCTCAGAGCTGGGTGAGGTGTCTCACCCGCTGACCATTCATCTGGGGAGAGGAGGCAGGGGATGGACCTCCCTTTGCAGTCTCGTCTCCCCAAATAATCCCTCTCTACATGAGAGAAAAATACGCTTTTTTGACACCCCTGCCCTGCTGAAGAGAAGCATTTTGTACAAAATCCTGCAATCCCTCTGCCCTTCCCAAGTGCTGTGCTGTCAAAGCTGTTTGCCCCTCTTCCTTCCTCCTCCAAAACCTCTTCCTGGGGGTTCCTCTGCTGCTTGGCTCATCCGTGCCCAAACCCCTGCTCCTGCAGCCTCAGCCTCTGGCATCGACCAGCAGCTCCATGGCACAGTTTCCCACTCGGAGCTGAGGAGCTCGAGGTCCAGCTCCAGGCTGCTGAGTTTCTTCTCATAAGAAAAGAGGGAATTTATTTCCCCGCCGAAGAGTAGGAGGAAGGAGAGGAGGGCCAGCTCACTTTAGATCCGAGCCTTAAGCTTTTAGAATAAGGTGCAAAATAAAGGTCTTAAAAAAAAAAGAAAAAAAAAAGAAAAAAAAAAAAGAAAAAAAGTCAAAACCAAAAAAAGTGTCTGAGGTTTGAATTTTTTTTTTTTTTGTTTAAAGCAGCCTGTTCCATTTTTTTTTCCTTTTTTTTTTTTTTTTTTTAAATAAACTCCACTGTGCAAAACTGTGCATTTTCTTTGGTATCCACTTAGGTAGTTTTCACTTAGTACTTTTTCCTACGTATACCTATATTTTGTCTCACTCTAGACAGAGAATTAAATTCTCCCCCCAAAAATCATAATTTTGCTGGAGGCTACTGATTGGCCTGATATTACATAATGCCCCTTATGTAATTGGAAAGAGAGAAATTGATTCTAGCTATCAAACTACTGGCCTTAAAAGGAGTTTAGACTTTCTGGCAACATCGGCCTCTCTGAACTGATCATGAGCTTTTCAACCCAAAAAGTTCAACACTGACTTTTTTTTCTTTTTTTTTTTTTTTTTTTAAATTACACAAGAGAAAATAAAAACTACACTGCAACAAAAATAACCATTTGTGTTCATGTAGTTAGCAGCAGCTTTTTAAAAAATAATTATAATAATAATAATAAGGCAGATCCTTGCCTTTGTTATGCCATTAAAAACATTCTTGTTCCCTAGAGAGAAGCATTCTGGAAAAAGTTGAAAAAAAAAAATAATAATAACCCAACCAAAGCTTGCCTGCAAGTTCAAGTTTTGTAAAAAAATATATACATAATTTATTCTACAACATATGTGCCTTCTGTTCATACTTAGACATGTTTAGTGCTTTGTGTTTAGAGTTCGCTTTCTGTCGTCCCTCCTCTGAGGACAGCCCTAAAACCAGCCTGGGTTTCTCAGGTCTGCTGCCTTCCCACCACACTCTTCAACAGTACCGTTGTCTGAAAACTGTTCTGGGCCAACTTCTCAGGTCAACAACGTGCCTTTGACCGGTAGATGTGGGTTGTTTGTTTGTTTTTTTTTTTTTTTATTTTAAACTTTCAACCAAAAGGGAGAGGAAGAGTCCGCCGGTCATATTTCCGACTCCCGCCGCAGCGGCCGCGGCTCCAGAGGCACGCCGGCCTGGTTGTGGTGGTCCATGTCGGGGTGGGTGTCTGTGCTCATGCTCTCAGGCACCCCCGTGTCGATCTCGTCCTCCTCTTTGCTGCTGAGGGCGACCTCGTTCTCGTAGCAAAAGGAGTTCGCGTTCGAGAGAATGTATTTCTTCTCTGCTAAGTCTCTGGCACTGCAGATGGGTGTGTTGGGCACTTCGTATGTTTTGTGGAACCTCGAGTAGTCCACTTTGTAGTAGTTTTTCTCTTCGAAGAGCACGGGCTCGTAGCGGTGGCCCCAGAGGATTTCGTTCGCCAGGTAGGAGCTACGGCACTGGGTGGTCATGGCGGTGGCCTCCACCATGCCCTCTAATATTACAACGATTTCAAAGTCAGCATTGTCCATGTCCTGCTTGCTCAGGTCATACAAAGGACTGTCCTCATCTATTTCGTGTACTATGGTGATGGGGGAGACCAGGAATATCCGGTCTATGCCGCTGTCAAACCCTACGTTGATGTCTATCTGATCCAAGGGGATGTACTCCCCTTCCGACGTGATCCTGGATTTGAGGAGCTGCGCTCGCACGTGCGCCTCCACCAAGTGGCTTTTCCTCAGGTTCCCAACGCGCCACATCAGGCACAGCTTCCCGTCTCTCATGGCCACCACGGCATTGTGGCTGAACACCAGAGTTTCGTTTCTCTTTTTTGGCTTAGCCATCTTTGCCATGACGGCCCCAATGATGAAGGCATCGATGATGCAGCCCACTATAGACTGGAAAACCACCATGAACACCGCGATGGGGCACTCGTCCGTGACGCACCTGAAGCCGTAGCCGATCGTGGTCTGGGTCTCGATGGAGAACAGGAAGGCTGCGGTGAAGCTGCTCACTTGAGAGACGCAAGGCTTGCTGTTCTCTTGGTTCTCCAGATCCCCGTGCAACAGTGCAATCAACCAAAACACACAGCCAAAAAAAAGCCAGGAGAGGATGAAGGTCAGGCAGAAGATAACCAGCATCCACCTCCAGCGGATGTCCACGCAGGTGGTGAAGATATCTGCCAGGTATCGCTGTCCCTTCTCCCCCACGTTAATAAACTGGACGTTGCAGTGGCCGTCTTTTTTGACAAAGCGGCTCCTGCACTGCTGCCTGGTGTGTACCTTGCCCTTCCCATTCCCAAAGCCGTTGGCCACGGCCATGGTGGACAGCTTCATGCCGTCCTCCTCCGAAGACACGATGCTGTAGCGGTTGGTTCGCACGCTGCCCATCACTACTGCTGTGGACTGAGGTGCTTCTGCTTTAGAAAACAGTCTGAGTTTCTGCAAAACCCTTTGGAGAAACAGTTTTGAAAGTTCTAGAGGAACACACACACACGGAAAAACCGGGGAGAGGCCGGAGTCCCCAAGAGCCCCTGGATCAACCAAGGACAGTCTTCTGGCATGCAGAGTTAGCTTAGCAAGCAACCGTCATAGAGAGGGCATGGTCTGCAAGAGAAAGAGAAACGTCGTGTTAGATCCTGGAGGGACAAGGAATCAAACCTGAAAGGATCAAGTTAAATTCCTCCTGTAGACCTGCAGGAAGTTTCCTTTTTTCTTAACCACACTCTGAGCAATGCTCAGCAATCACAACTGTGCACGGACAGGAGTCACATCGTCACTGAGAGGAAGTCACTGCTCTTCCCCAGGGAAAGCCCCAAAGGCATCGTGTCACACAAGTCCCTGAGCAACATTCACTTTAAAGCTGGACATACAGAGAATCTCTCTGCTATTTGCAACTGTGCTTTCTGCGTATCGGGAAACAAACAACTCCCTTTAACCTCCATCTGCTCAAACACAAATACTGGAGATGTTTGTGGTGACTTACAACCTGTCCCCCAGACTGTTTGTCAACGACAAACCAGGGAGTTGCAAAAGGGAAGGTGGCGTGTACAGAGAAAAGCAATAAACCTGGGAAGTGCAAATAGCAGAGGTTTCCATGAAATTAGATCTCATTTAATTTTTTTAATTAAGCTAGAAGAGTGAGCTGTGTACTCTCTGCAAACGGCAGGAATGAGGGCTGCATTGGTTCCTCTTTAACTCCAGAAACTCACTGGGATCTCTGCAGGTTTTACACCCATCTCAGGCGTAAGTTGGACAAAGCAAACTAAACCTTGCAATGATGCAACTACCAAAAGGCTACAGTGGAGTAGAACCAGCTGAGTGTCTCCATAACACCTTTAGTAGCAAGAACCAGCACCTTCCCCTCGGGAGCCTGAGGCAGCCAATTCCACCTCCAACAGGTAACGGCTCCAAGTGTCCCATGGGCCTTAAACATCACCAATTAAGACTCAGCTGAGAGGCTACAAAACCTTCTTCCTGAGGGTAGAAGCCACCAAACTCGTTTCGGGGAGGTCTGGCTTAGACCCAGGTTCAGCTTTTAACAAGTGCGTCATCCATTAAGTCATGTTCTGTGTATCAGGAAATGGGATTGAAATGCTGCAGGAGAGAGGCACTAATGCCACTGCTCCATCCACACGTGCCCCATGCAGGAGACAAGGCTAAACCCGAGTGCTGGGGAACGTCTGCTGTCCCTTTGTCATGGCAGAGGAGACTTCAGAACCATTTACCATAGCAGGGGATTAAATCACGATGCTCTCCCTAAATCAGTGTTATCAAAACTCATCTGAGTTTGTCCAAAATCCAACAAAACTGTGGAGCACAACCCCTGCCCACCAGGACCTGTGTCCCCCAGTGGCTTCAGTACTGTCTCTTCCTCTGACTCAAATCCCACAACAGTTGTAGGTAAGACATTCTCTCCTTTCCCAACAGCAGCCCCTAAAGCCCTGCAGAGATGTTCCAAAAACTTGAGGGATTTCAAATAGCTCCTCAGCCCTCCCACATCCTTCAGCCACATTACAAGGGCTTTAGCTCAGCAAACACTTGTTAGGAAAACAGCAGGTGACAAACAGCACCATCATCGTGCTCTCAGCTCCTTGCAGGCTGCTCTTCCCTCCAGGACCTCTTCAGGTTTTACTTTTACCTCCTCTTTCTTCCTCACTCCTGTTTGTTGTGCAAGAATGTGTCCCAATGCCTACTTGCCAAGATTAGTCATCTGTGACTTCAGCTCCTACAAGACATTTTGGCAGCTCTCAATAGGTTCAGTAATGCCCACTCTGAGCACAGCTCTCAGCAATGAACACTTACAGTGTAGCTGCCTTCTTACTTATTCTGTACATTTATTCTTAATTAGACAACTGCCTAAGGATCCAGTTTTCCCCCCTCTCACATCTTTTTGTTCTCGGGGTTTTTCATTCCCATCAAGATACCATTCTCAAAAATACGAAAGAATTCTTTTAATGCTCACTTAAATGATTTTTGTTTTGGCTGGAAAACACTTTGATTAGAAACCTGAACACAGCGGGGAAGCGAAATTACTGTTAATACATTCCACACAAAAAAACTTCTTGAAAAGCCATCGCATTGCTCTGCAAATCGATCACTTACAAACCACATCCTATAATCACAGTCATGTTTGACTTCCACGGTCAAAGTCTGTTTTGTTCCAAGCTGATGGAAACACACAGCCCAGGAAACAGTTTATTTTGAAGTCTGGGGTTCGTTTTTTTTTTTCCCCTGCATTGTCTCCTGGATTTTAGAGGAAAACTTGTGGTGGAGGGAAAGATAAGCTGTAAAGTCTAAAGTGTCTGACTACGCAGCTTCCCCCGCAAAAGTCTTGACCTGAGGACATTTGTTTGAATTCCACAAATCACTGAAATCCTAACGGAGCTTCCTGCAGCGAGCTGGCTGCATTTAGAAGTTTGGGACCTGAATTAGGTATCCTGCATTGTCACATTCCTCCCCCGAAGGGCTGAGCACCTTCTACCTACTGCACCTTGCACAGCATTTCTCCTCCCTGGCTGCTCAGTGGCTGCTGTGTCCTTGGTGGACCTGCACCCATTTGGCTCTAAGGATCCCTAAATCCAGGGGTGTGCCTGGGGACACCTTTGCAGATTGCTGGAAGTTTATCCCACAAAGCTCTGGCATGTTCCACTGCAGCACAGTTGTCTTCTTGCTTTTACAGCACTAACTGCTTCTCATCCTTGTGAGTGCTCAGAATGGGGAGGATGCCAGGATGGGAGCAGGACCAGCCCCGTGCACAGGGACCAGGTGGCATGTCTGATCTCACTCCTGCTCGTGGCAGGTCCTGTGAAACCCCCACTGGATCCACTGGCTGCCCAACCACACACCTGACCAGTGTTCACCCTGACCTTCACCAGAGGTCCCCCTCACAATCCCACACACAACCAGCATGAAAATCTAATGATACTTCTCATTTTCCTAATCCACCTGCTGCTCCAAGGCAGAGCAAGGCTGCTGCCCCCCTCCCCACCCCAGCATCAGCTGCTGGTGGCACCAAAAATGCCACTGTGGGACCAGCCCTGCAAACCTCCCCAGACAAAAAGAGCCAACCCAGTGCCCACCAACTCAGCCCAGCATTTGTGTAACTGAGCCCAGTGCAGCCAGACACACACATGCAGCTGGAAATTCAATCATCACTAGGTGTGTTATTATTATTATTATTAATCCAGGTTACCTTTCCTCCTGGAAGGGAGAACAAGCAACGCAGCTTGTAATTACCAGCACTGGCACTGACACAGCATTACTGGGAAGGGATGAGATGGGATGGGATGGGAGAGCCCTGGCTTGCTCTGCTGCGAGGGGATGCTTGGAGGAGCCAGGGAAAACGGGGCTGTGCTGCATCTGCAGCATTTCTGAGCCAGCATTTGGGGAAATGCCACGACGAGGAGCCCAAACCTCGCTTTCCCCTCAGCATCCCCCTGCAGCCCTTCCCTGGGGAAAGAGCTCACACTTTAAACTCTGCAAAGAGCAGCTCGAAGGGAATTTGTGCAGAAGGTTAAAGGCTGAGGCAAAACTCAGAAGTGCAAGGAGAGGGGGGGGGGGTGGAGAGGAGCACTAACGAGCGCTTGGAGCGGTTATTCCCAGGCTGACGCCACACAGCCCCGAGGAGAGAGCCGGGCACATGTTGCCAAGAGAGCACCAGCACCACCTCAGCCAAGCGCCTTCCCTGCTGCCCTCGGAAAACAGAACAAAGGAGCTTCTCGCCCCAGCGAAGCCCGTTCCCACATTCCTGCTCCCTGGCTGCCGGGCACGGCCACCCCTGTAACCTTTCTCCTTAAAAGTCATTCCCCAGAGCTTCTCCGCTGGTCTGGGGAGGACTCAAGTTACACGGAGTGGTGAGCTGCTTTCAGGAGAAGGGTCTGTCCTTCACGGACAGGCAGTGGGGGAAAAAACAAACAAACAAAAAAATAAAATAAATTTAAAAAAATGATCAGATTATGTAAGGAAATGGGTGCGAAGAAATAGGAGAAAGAGGACAAGTGGCGTTTGCGTCTGCTGTCCTGCCAAGGAGAAGCGCTCGGGGTATTTGTAGCCGATGACAAAATAACTACGAGTGGAACAGCCATCACCAGGGGGTGTACGTGGTGCACCGGCTGCGAGGATGGAAAAGCAAACAAGTGTAAAGGTAAGGAAGGCTGAGACAGAGACAAGTGCGGGCAGCTCGCGGGGCGCGGAGGCGGCGGGGACAGAGCTGCGGGGACAGAGCTGCGGGGACAGAGCTGCGGGGACAGAGCTGCGGGGACAGAGCTGCGGG